CTGAAAGGCCATGTTATTGCTGGATGTCCAACATTTCGAGACGATTCATGCTTTGTAGCCTCATCCATATCCATAAGGTAAAGTTTCATAGGTGGTAGGCTCGATAAGCCATGATTCGGAGAATCGCCTAACGGCCTGCTCTGCAATATTTCTTTCTTTCGGTTTTTTTGTATGACGGATTGGGAATCCATAACTCTGATTTCTATAGACTGGACAAAAATTTCTTCCCCTCGATAATTTACGTTGTTCATTCATGGTCGGTTTAGGCACATTAGTGCCCTCACTCTGTGAGTATATTCCAGAAAACAAGGTGTCATACGGTGGCTATAATCTGGCTTCGAGTTCAAAGAACGAGAAGGCGTATAAATTAGTTATTGAATCACATAAGCGCATTTCTAAAAATACGATTCTGAAAGAATATATTTAGAATCCGGGTGTGAGTTGCTAACAGAATTCCGAAATACATGGTATAAGGCAATTGGTCTTCAAACTGTATGTCTTCAGGCACTATCTATTTTGCAAAACGGTAAAAAAGATGTCTCATCAGAATCTGATATCGATGAGATCGTTGATCTATACTGAGTATTCTTGGTTAGAATTGCCAGACTTCACTAAGATACTTATACATTATTAATTGTATTTTTTCGTACATAAATAATATCCAAGTTCAAATAGATAGTCTCGGCTACCCGATCCACATATCCCGCAACTGATTACTTTTTTTACCTATAACCCATGTACGTCTCAATATAACGAACCACATAATCGCATTAATTAACAGGGTAAGAAAAATATATGCTGATAAAGGTGACATCAAAGTGCTTGCCACAACGGGGAGAGGCAAAGCCTCGAGACTAGGTCTCATTGCTCCTATTCCTCCTATCGGAATCTGAGAATGTGATTCAATCAATGAAGACGTGTTATTTTCCGGCTGTGCAAGGTAAGGAGTTATATTCGATATTTCTTGGAGTATATTGTTGTCTGCGGAGCAGGACACTTCGTGTCTAGTTTTGCTAATATCGATTTCATCACTTACCTTGGGAATAATCTCCGTATCATTTTTTGATAGTTCGGTAATCTTACTATTAGTATATGTCGAGATAGCGGAGTTAGTATCAGTGGTAAAGCCACGAGTCTTCGACTCAAGACACATATTACCATCGATTTTTTCTATTGGATTTATGGAACTTTGTTCCTCGCACAGCGTGTTTTTTCTATGTAGAAAATATTGACTGAGATCTTTACTTGGTGAGGCATAGCCTCGAATCTGATTCCTCAATAACTGCAGATCTATCATCAGACTTGATTATGGAACTTTGTTCCTCGCTTTGCGTATTTTTTATTTTGGAAACAATGGGGCTTTGCCCCTCATCATTCCCACCAACTACAGGTTTTGGCTGTGCCAGCTCTGCTGATATAGCCTCCGATTTCAAACACTCAAGTTCATTAACCTTCGATTCCAATTCGCTCTTTATATTTTCTAATTCAGTTATTTTAGATTTGAGAGATAAATTCTCGGAATCTTTTTTTGACAAATTGTTTTGAATCGAAATCACATCTTTCTGGGCTGAAGACAACTTACTTTCCAATATCTTGATCATAGATTCGAGTGATTTGATTTTCTTGGATTTTGTAACATTCTCAGCCTTGGATTCAGCAATAAAAATATCCTTTTGTGCGTTATGAGAAATAAGATTGGTATTTTCATTTTGTAGTTGCTTATGCTCATTAATAACCTGCAAAGCGTGGGTGCGTAACTTTTGGATCTCGGTATTATTTCGTAACGAATCCCGATTCCACCCCTTTCTTTCCCGATCAAACGCTTTCATTTGCTTTATGTATTTATCTGCAATTTCTCGCTAAAGTCATTAACTTCAGCTTTGGATTTGATAGCATCGTGTAGTTTTTTTTCTAGATCTTCTTCGCGTATACTACCAAGTCGATGACCTTTAATATTTTGTAATGTATATACATTTGTCATATTAGCACCTTGTGTTTGCTACGCTAAATAATATATAATATACAGATGTTAATAAAACTAATTCGTTAATAATTTCTATTATTATATAACGATATTTAATGTTAGATAACCTAGACTATTAAAAAAATATATTAGATATTGTTGAATAAGATTATATATTAATTTTTTATTTCGGTTTCTAGTACTTTGTATTAGTTTTATTAGCTGAAGGCCTGTTTATGCTAATATTTTGTATTCATCTATAATGATAGATGTTATTTTTTATTGTACTATAATAATAGATATCATTTTTTATTATTCTAAAACATTAAATATCATTTTAAATATTGGATAAAAATCAAATCATGAATACACCATTTCTAAAATCATATTATCGCCGAAAATCTACATATCTAACTTCTGAGCAGATAGAAACAATTAGATCGCTCAAAGATAAGGTACCTAAGTATAGAATTATGAGAGATTTCCATATTAATGAACATCGAGTAGATGATATATGGGAAGATCGAGAGCGCCAACAACAAATAATACAAAGTACCATTTCCACCGAGATATCTACACTAGCCTCACCAGACACGAAGTGTCCTGTTTTACAGACTCCATCCGAAAATTTTAATCGAATCGGAAGAGAGAATTTATATCCAGAAGAGACAAAGTCTCGAGTCAAAGACTCATCTACTACTCCTCTTAATACAGAAATAAAAAAGAGAAGTTCCAAATCTCGGTCTAAATCCATTCGTATATCTGATCCAATACCTACTAATAACTCTAATGTGGTAGCATCTACACTTAATGAGACGGAAAAAATAAGTAGTGAAGAACTGGATGCATTATATGAAAAAGAAGCTAGAAGAGCTGAGAAAAATATAGCAAATATGACTCGCCTATTAGCTACTACATAGATCTATCTTTTCTTTATCTATGTTATTATCTCTAGAGGAGATATGTTCAAGTAGCTTTTCATAACGCATTTGTAACTTTTCACAAAGATCATTTATTTCAGCCTTAGACTCAAGAGTATCATATAGCGATTTTTCTAACTCCTCATAGCTCATGCGTTTTTTTTTAAAGTCGAATTGTCAGAATCTGTGCTAAAATCTGCAGGAGCATGCCATTTCTCCAATGGTTCATTATCCTCACTCTTATTACTATTGGTATCCTGTAAAATTTGATCAGATACTAAAGGCTTATCATTTTGAGATGCGGTAACGCAATTTACTTCGAGCTTATTCTTGACTTTGTGCATAGTAACCGGAATAATAAAATCTTCTCCATTGTAATGAATCTTCATTTTATCATTACCCCAGTCTACAGCACATTTATATTTTTTGAGAAGTGGGTTTGGGAATATCAATGTTGGCTTAGGGGAGCGTACAACTACAAAATCTTCACGTATAGTAAAACCTGGAGGAAATGTTATTGGTAGATTACGAGTAATACCAACAGATTCTGTTGGAACAGTAGCAACGCCACTGAGATCATATTTTTCTGATTTATCTATTTTCCCACCTACGCGTTTAACAATATCTTCTGATACAATTGCAGGTTCAGCCCCACTATCGAGTACCAATGCTGGAATTTTTAAGCGTTGGATTTTAACTGGTATAGTTGCAATACTAATTACGGGTTCTTTCCGACGGACAAAATCTATCTCCATAGGATCATCTAGCATTTCATCCTCCCCATCAGAATCGGGTATATCTGGAGCCGGCTCTCGATAATTCATAAAATCAGGTCTTGTAACAGATAAATTCGTGTTATTAATATTGTTTCTAATTGTTTCTATAACCTCTGGATCATTAAACATAGCTAGAATAATTTTTCGAATTTGTGAGTCAATATTCGTATCTGATTTCTTTGGACTAGACTTCTTTTTAGAGGATGATTTACTCTTTCGTTTTACTTTTTTTTTGCCCTGGAAATGTTAACATTCATACTCTCAGTTTCAGAGGAGGTATCATCAGAATCGGATCCAGAATCGGAATCACTATTGGAAGAGTTATAATCAGAACCTGAATCGGAACCAGAGTCATTGATAGCCATATTAACCTTACCTTTTTTCTTGGATCTGCTTTTCTTTTTATTTTTCGGACATCTAGAAGAATTTGAATGATGACCAGTTCTATGACATTTTGAACAACGGTGTTTGGATGATACATTAACAGCATATACTTCCTTCATTCCTTGTGATATACCTTTAGATACACCTTTGGATATAGCCTCATTTATTGACAACTCAGCCATACCCTTTGTGATTCCATCTATATCATCAGTAATGGGAGAGGTTTCTTTTTTCTTCTTAGGTAAGAGAGGCGTAATTCTATCTATTACTCCTTTACTAATTGTATCCATGAAAGTTTGTAGATAAGATGGACTTGCTAAAGCACTAAGACGATCTGTTGCTTCATCCATTCGAAGCCATTCTTGGTCATTCAAGCGTAAATTAGGATCCCGATATGTTTTACCTGGTTCCATTTGACTGGGTCGTAATAATTGTCCTTCTTGTCTTTGAGAAATTGATTGTGTAGGCTGAAGAGAAGTGGTTGGTACTAAAGCTAATTGTGATTTTATCATACTATCTATTTCAGCTCGAGTTATATCACTACTATTAGAATGCGATTTATTTTGTAATTGGCGTGAGCTGGTTTCTGGATGAGAAATTATAGGTGATATATTAGCTGAAAAGCTAGCTGAGACTTGATCATAATTTGATCCTCCATACAGGTTTGGAGTACGTTCTAACCACATATTTTTTAATGCAATGAAAAATTCGTTAATACCTGCTGGAGCATCAGATCTCATCCAAGTAAAAAGCTCACCTGGCAATTGACTTTTAAGAAATCCTAAGACTTGAGCATCATCATTGGGTACACCCAATAAAAGAGGTCGAATTCTAGTTTCATAGGTATCTGGAGTATCAAATGGTTGAAATCTTTCTTGAGTTAATCTCTGAATTGCAGATTGTTTAGTTCCGACTGTCTCTCGTTGATATTTTGTTCTTGCCCATACTCGCAAAGTTGCTGGAGAATTAATAGCTGGATTGCCAATAGTATATGGGTCATTAGCTGGTACTGGAGCATATTTTCCAGCCATCTTTGATTTTAAGATAGTACATTTAACTGCATCATCGAAATCTCCTGCATGGGCATTTTCAAGAACCGTCATATGTCCCTCAGCAAATGCCCATGATTGTATAACCTTATCAAAATAATCATCAGGAGGTTCTTGACCAATATAGGGTGAAATACTTGCAAGAGCGGGTTGGATTAATTTTAATACGGGTAAACGTCTACCTTCTGCCATGTTCAGATTTATAGGTGGATTATTCTGTAGTAATAAAATTTGAGCTTGTAAATTTAAAATTAATTGCTGTGAATTACGCTCCCTATTTTTCCATTTGATATGACTTGCCTTGCGATCCTTGAATTTATTGTAATATCTATCAAAGAGCTGATCTCGATTATATTCTAATAATCCTTTATCAGCCCGGCATTGTTGCAACTCCCGCATTAGCCGGTAAATAGATACCTTATAAATAATTTCAAGAGTACGTTTGAGTTTTGACTGTTCATTCCATATCAGACTTGCATTATGCCACAAACGCCCTCGCAAATTATATCCTTGTTGGCTGTTATTAAGATCTTGAGCAAGTTGATTGACACGATTCTGCAAAGTATTTCGTTCTAGTATAAGTTGATTGACGTGATTTTGCAAGGTATCTCGTTCTGGTATAAGTTGGTTGACGCGATTCTGCAAGGTATCTCGCTCCTGAGTAAGTTGATTGGTTTGATTCTGAAGGTTAGTATTTCGTTGTCTATAGAAATTGACATCTTGTTGCAACTGCAATACTTGATTATTCCGATCATCTCGTTGGGCTATAACACCATCTATATCCTGGTATACAGATTGATAATTATGCCGAACAGTATTTAAGGAACCTCTAATACCTTCTATAATATTGATAGGATTATTTAATGGAGTACCACCACCTTGGATGTGATTTTTAATGCGATTTAAGCCTCGTTCGATTTGTATAAAAAGGTCAAGATTCGCCATATCTGGATCTTCTGGGGGTGAATATATATCAGGTGAATTATTTCGAACTGGTGAATTTCCACGGGATGAGATAACTTTGATTCTCTGTTTCAAACTGGATATAATCTCATAACATTCTTGTAACTTGTTTTCTATGTCAGTGGTATAATTGTTATTGTCTCGGATCTCTTTTCGGGTTTGATAAAGATCTTTTTTCAGAGACGAGATCTCAGTCTGAAGTTCCTTAATTTCTTCATTAGATGCTACAATAGCAATCTCTTTTCGATTGATCTCTTTCTCGCAATTAATGAGATCACGTTCTAGCCGAGATATCCATTTTTCGTTAGCTTTATTATGAGAAATTTCGGTGGATAATTCATCTCTCAAAATCTGGTTAATTTGTTCTAGCTCAAGTTCTCTATCAGTAGCTAGTCTATGAGTTGTTCGATTGGGGGGTCGGGGTCGATGAAATGCCATAGCTATTTTTTACGGCATAATATATTAACTTATCTTTGACTTTGCCAAAACATAATTTATAGTAAAATGTATCGAAAATGAGTCAGCCTACAATCAGCAGTGATAAAGAATTGGATCGAGTATGCAGGTTAATTTATTATCAAGCCACTGGCTACCATGCCAACCCTCGAAAATTATATAAAGATCTCAAGAAGAAAGGACATCGATTTCCATTCAAAAAAGTGCGAGACTGGCTTATAAACCAGAATGAATGGCAAAAACACGCCCCATCACCAAAAAATATTCCACGGGTTAGTTATGGTAAAATTCAAAAACCAAATTGTGTACATCAGAGCGATCTCTTATTTCTTACGCATGATAAATATAAGGAGAAGACATGGAAAGCGGTATTACAGATTATAGACGTGTCTAGCAGATTCAAAGCGAGTGTTCCTCTAACATCGAAGAAAAGTTCAGAGGTCGCCAAAGCATTTAGAAAAATTTATGATGATCCCAATAATCCTCTTACTTATCCGAAGCTTCTACAATGTGATGGTGGCAAAGAATTCATGGGCGAAACTGCTCGATTAATGGAGGCGCATAATGTCACAATTCGAGTAATTGGTGCTTATAGTCATCGTGGATTAGCTCTTGTAGAACGATTCAATAAGACGTTAGCAGAGATGCTTTATAAAATCCAGTATGCCATTGAATCAATATCTAAAAATCCTAAATTAATAAGAGAGTGGGTTAAGTATTTACCAGAAGTTATTGATTATCTAAATAATTACCCAACGCGCCTTATTCGAGCTCCAGGTTCATCAAAATGGGGATTAGCTCCGGCAAAAGCTATCGGATTAGAAAGAGTTGAATCTAGGCCATCTACAAAGTATAAGCGTCCTGTTGGGAAATATGAGGAGAATAGGTTGAAGAAGGGTGATACAGTTCGCTATCTGCTTGCGAATGCAGAGTGGGAAGGAGGTATGGAGAATCAGAAAAGAGCCACGGATCCGGCATTCTCACCGAGCCTTCATAAAATTCGCAAAATCGTGGTAACGAAAAATGAACCAATTTTATATTATTTAGACGGAGAATATGCCCCGTCACGTGGATTTGTGAGGGAAGAGCTCATGCACGTGAATATTGATACGCTTCAGTATCCGCCCCAGAGTATATTGGAAGAAAATACTCGTTCCAGGTCTGTTAATTTCATCCGTATTATTAATAAAATAGCTAAGGCGCAAGCTTATGCTGAGAAGCGCGGTGGGGAGTGTCTTGGTAAAACTAATCAAATAAATGGTTACGATGTATATCTCTGGACATGTGGACCCCATCAATGGTATGCGCCTTATAAAATCCAGAAGCAGAAATTCGAATGGCGTCCAATTTGTTTCCACCATGCTGATGAGAGACGCTGTAGATATATTTTCGAAGATCTGTTAGGTAAAAAAATTTCCATCCTGTAGACCGTCGTTTTTAGATGGGATGCAATTAGATGGGTATAATGAAGAGCTAAAATTAGCATTCGAATTCCAGGGGCCTCAACATTTTTCTAAGAATCCAATATTTCACAAGCGAGGCAAGATAGACTTAGATAGTCAACAGACGCGTGACCAAAAAAAGCGAGATGTATGTAAAAGAGAGAGTAGATCTTATTGAAATACCGTATACATGTGATTTATTCCCATATATCAAAAGTGAATTGCTTAAAAAAGGGTATTTAAAAAATACAGGTATTAATGAACACGATAATTGATACTATCTCATCAGCTAGCATGGCTAAATAATATCATACTCTGAATGCAATTGCGATGGGATATTCGGATACCTTACTATTGGTGCCAATGGAATGTCTTTGAATTTATATTGAAGATGCGTTATGATTTTATTAGTAATGTCATGAGGGATATTTAACAAAACTTTTTCACATTCTTTTCGCATTACACATATTAACCACCCGATATGTATTAATCGACCTCCTTTACCATTATATCCAGTACGGAGCAAGAAATGAAAATCATCTAACACAATATTGGTTGCCATTCTTTGATCCGCAATAATTTTTCGAAATAGTCGTTTATCTCTCTCTGTTTCTGGAAAACGAATCTCATCGGGTTTGAAACCTATAAATTCGGAAAGTTGTTCACGAAGTTCAGTCATTTTATATTGCTATGTAATATGTAGTATTTAATTTATAAATCAAAAACGATAAACAAAATTATGTTTAGGAATAGTAATCTGTGCCATTATTTTTTCATATAATAATTAGTGACTTCACTTGATCAAGATGAAAATAGAAAAGCTTGATCCAGTAGACAAAATGGTTCTCCATATCGATGAATTAAAGATGCGAAAAAATTTAACGGCCTTAATTCAACACCTCAGTGGCCCTTCACATGCTTAATCTCTGGTCGAACCAATTCAGGAAAAACTAACGAAGTTGTGAATCTATTACTAGGGAATAAGCTTTATCGCATGTTTAATGGTAAAAAAGGAGGAACACGATATATTAAGTGTGACGATGTTATTCTTATTGGTCACCATCTTAAGGAGCCAAAATATATGTATCTTAATCAGAATTTCAGATAATCGCAAATAGTCCAAAACCACATCGTGAAGATATTACATTTCGAGCTATAAAATCTGATAAAATTCCAAATCTAGATTCATTCTCTCCAGAGAGAGCTACAGTACCTATACTTGAGGATGTATGCGCTGATCCAAAAAAGTTCAGGAGAAGATTTTACTAAACGTCGTCATAAAATTATAAGTTCGATTTATGTAACGCAAAGCTTTTTTGATTGCCCGAAGCTAATAAGGAAAGAACTAAATTATATTGTTCTCTTCAATGGGTCTACCTTAGACGAATTATGCAGAATTCTCCGCCTATATGCTAATGATTGGCGTAGCATATATAAATTATTTGTGTGATCGAAATTTTATCGTCTTCGATTTAGCAGTTCCTCGAAAGAACCCTCACAGGATTCAGAAAGGATGGGATACGCCATTTCTTAGTGAGTAGGCTCGAAGAGCCATGATTCGGAGAATCGCCTAGACCCAAAGGGTCATTGCTCTGCAATAACGGCCTGCTCTGCAATAGAGCTTGATTTTAGATATGCGTGACATTTACCAATCAGATAATAATATTTTTCGCAATTTTTTTTTCCCGTTATTTATTGTTGCATTAATATAGTATACATCCTATCTGCCACTTATATTTTTAAGCTGACCGAATCCTGCCGTGTTTGAAGTTAGAGTAGATGTAATAATAACAAGCACGATCTATTATCATTATTAGGGATTTTTGTGTCCCATAAAACAGGTTGATATGAAAAAATCAAAGTAAAAATGTTACCAGCCCTCGGGGATAAACGAAATAAAGTCTAAAGTACTAGCCCTCAGGAATACTTTAGGTGGTTTTATTTCTTTTTCCTCTCATGTTTGGAAAAAAGATGTGTCGTTATCTATTGTATGTAACACATTCTGCATCTATTTTTCTGGCTTTGAGTAATAGATTCACGAGAAGGCGGGATAAATAACCGAATAAATATATATATTTATGTTTCTAATTGTTGGAGACGCTTACTAAATCTATCTCGTAATTGGGTTTTCTTTCTACCTATCCAATCGTATGGAATAATATATTCTTCATATTTTCTAACATAAATATCCAAAGGAATATTTAAATTACATTGTTTATACATTGTAATCCATTTAGTACGCCATTGATCAAATTGTTCTCGAGTCTGAGAATTTTTTATTTCATGTCGAGTTAAACCTAAAAATTTCTTATCATCTGGAGTATTATCATTTGGTAAGCTATTCCATGCAAGTCGTGCATTTGACGGCTCTTTTTCTTGGAATCGGCGAAATGCTCTTTGAATAATTCTCGCATATCCATCTTGAGTTTTAGGTTTATCACACTCGTGATCCCAATGTTTCTGCATCAAATCATCTGGCTCAATAATTTCAACATACCTATTTTTAGTAAAATGGAATTTTTTCTTTGGTTGTAGTTGTACATCATCAATTTTTACGAGTTTCCAGCAACCCAAACAAATAGCCATATGACCTTTATGGATTCTTGGCCTGTAATAATCATGATTAATTAGCTTAGACTTTCCAAACCCACCATATAAATAATGTACATGATATACGCTTCTTTTCTTTCCGGAAACCAGCTCTTGTAAAGGAACTCTGACCCGAATAGCCCATTGTTGTGGAGTTTCATTGTGTCGAATACAGACAAGTATCATATTGTCTTTCAATCTCAAAGAGTTTATCGAAGAATTGTTGATAATCATTAATTTCACAATAATTGTAGATATATGGCTCTATATATTTCATATCATATCCCGGTCTATTATTAATGAGTTTCCGTAATTTAGATTTTTATCAATAATAATAGGAATATTAAGACCTGACATATTTATCGCTTATAGAGAATAATATATCCTGTCCACTCACAAGTTTGTGTCCAGATGTGTATAGCTAAGTAATTTGTTTATTATATGTTATCCTGGCTTTGAGCAGTTACTGCAAAAAGGCGGGGGATTTGGTTCTTTATAGTATAAGAATATATGATTCATTTTTTTGTGCATTCAAAATAACTTATATTAAAGGCTCGATAATATATATAAAATGGCTGAATTACGTGAAAAATTATCCCAATATATTGGCTTTAAAACTGAAGAAATCCGTCTTCCAATCACAGAAGAAGGTAAACGGTTTTTTCAGGGATTAATAGCAGATCAGGAAGAGATGATAGATATTAATATTGTAATGAATGAGTATTAGTATCGATTTTTGCAACATTATGGGCATAATTATAAAGGAGGTTCCTTAATCCATATAATGTGGGTGTATATATGGCTTCGATATTCAGATGTCAGAGGGGACAAAGCCGCCATGAAAGTAGCTGCCTGCTCCTGACAATCACTAACTTGAACAGAACTACTAGTAACAGACCATCAGATGAAATTATTTTTTAGCAAAATCATGGGTATTCACGATGGCTGCCCCTCAATCCCCAACAGAAACGCAAAGTTGATTGTTCATCCGGTGTGTATGGTCGAGCTCAATGAAACGAGTGAATCCGATATCATATGCTGCCAGATGTTAAAACGGTTTACTGCCAAGGGTGATGCTAAGAAAGTGTTGATAGATGTACCTCCATCTAAGATATTATCGAGAAAGGGTTTAGCTCATATTTGAAAAAGATTCGAGCGCCAGTGATTATAGTTGATTAAATAACTTGTGTAATCTGATATTTCCGCTAAAATAATTAACCTATGTGTGTCATAGAAGGAATTCGAAAAAGCAGAGCTTCGAGTGTACTACTCATATAATAGAAATTTGCATGCATCAGATGCAGCACTCTGTGTGTCAGGTCATGCGATGCACCGATTACCAAATTTAATTAACCGATATTAGCTAAAAAATATAATGTATTCATATACACGAATTTGTGAAATATGGGAATCCGCTATTGCGATAAATAATTAGTAAAGCTGATATACATAATAATAATAATAACAAAAATCAGTTAAATCATTTCCCGCGATCACATGGGGTTGCTCCCTTGGGGCTCTATGCCACATGCATAGCCACTGCGTGAGCGCCTTCAGCAAATTACGATCGGATTCACACTCAATTTATTAACAGTTACGAAACCACGAATTAAATAACAAATAATTGATAACTTTATTGATAATAATTGTATATCTCAGTTATTTTTACTCTACATTACGTTGTAAAAGGCAGGCCTTGTAGAGCGTAGCTCATTTCTTTGAAATAGAATTATTCGTGGAGTAAGGGCAAAGAGGGAGAAGCATCTCGAGCCCTAACCCATAGAATGAGAGCTCCTACTCCACACTAGCTATAGTTCTCATAATCATTATTACTGTTGTCAAAGATTTTATTACTATTATTAGAAAAATTGTTTCTGCTTCCACCGCTAATTACAACAGAGTTATTTTTTTTCCGGTTCTCTCTCTCGATCCAAGCCTCGATTTTGTCCTAATGATGTACGTTGTGGAGATTTTTGATGTTGATAGAATTTTGCAAGCGTGAATGGGCTGAGATCTATTTCCTCGGACAGGACATTGTACATTTTCGTGGGAGAACGTTTTTCTCTTTTTCTTCTCTCGTTAAATATGGCCGTAAATTCGACCCAGAGAGTTTCGGTTTCAGTGGAATATTCGGACCTGTAGCTTTGTATAGATGCTTACCCTAATTATAGAATGCAGGTATACAGGTACTGAGTTTCGCTCTAAATAAAATATGAGGAGTTACGCTAAATTTTGCAATTATTTTACAAACCTCTACTTTGGGCTTCAGACTTCCATTCCGCTTCAGTTTTCATTTGTGCAATTTTGTTTTGCAAAGCTAAAATATCTTGTTTAAGTTTTTGCATAACTGGATCCGTCGTAATAGGAACTGGGGCTGGAGATGCGTTTTTTCGAGTAAATATAAATACAATTGCGAGGATGGTATATGCTGTTATATTTCCCTGGACGAGTGTATAAAGCATCTCCATTGTCAAGACGCCCCGGTTGTATGCTTCATAGAGCACGATTACGGCGATGAAGATCGCAAATAAAAAATTATAGGAAAGTTAAGTTGCATTTTCGTAGTTATTTATTTTGCAAATGATAAATTGTTTAATGATCAATTTAACAACTTGATTTCTTACTCACACCTCCATCGGTTTTGTCTTGTTTTGTAGATCAAGCGTTAACTTCTGCGGTCGTGGTATTGGTTCTTTAAATCTCGTATTAAATCGAACGGCAATAATACAATCTACGGATTCGTGTATCATAAATCCATGGCATTGGTTTTTTACGGGTGACCAGATTTCGTACTAATTAATTAATAGCGATCACAATATACGATTTACCGCTCTACCAGTTATCCTTTTATATTAACATTTCATGGTATTGGGATTCATAGTAATATAATGTAACAATCACATGCCTGAAAATCGATTGGGTAATATAGATGTTCGATCGACATATGCCATAGAATAAATTAGAAGGTTTTATGCATGATGTAATTGTGTGTGTTTGGGTACCCCCTGATTGTTACTATGACCAAATTTTCTGAATAAAATTACATCGATTGCGTAACACAGATGTTTGATCAGGGCCATTACTTCGTAATATATGGAAAACTGAAGTGATTAGAGAAATTCGCAAAAGATTAATAGTGAACTGTACATTTATTGATAGAAAAATAACTGTTAAAGCGCTGATTGACCCTAAATCCCAGTACGGTAGTATCAGTAAAGCACTTGCCCAAAAAATGGATTATATATTTCTAGAGAGTATGGATCTAAATATCCCGCAGTAAAAGATCTTGGTATTGGCGCAACAAATGCTGGCAAGAAAGTAATGAGGAGGGGTTGGATTGATAGAGAAAATGTTTCTGTCACTTTGCCAAATATTTTTGAATTGGGAGAATTAAAATCCTTACCTCGACATTTAAACGTACCAATTTCGTAGTTATTGACAATCCTGAATACGATTTGGTTTTAGGTCATATATGGCTAATGCATACAGGATATGCAATCGAGAGATATCGAAATAAACCATTATACATTAATAGACCTAAGGAGATCGAAAACGGGAATTAGAAAAAAGCCAATATCGCTTAAGAAATAGTATTTGGGAATTACCTCATTCATTGTATACATTCTATGAACTATTATTTCCCGAATTTATTACAACAGATTCAGATGGGGAAGTTATATTAACCAAGTTTTCTGATCAAAATATGGAGAATATCCTGATCGATCTAAATGAATATTACGATTCAGAATACTCTGAAACGGGGTCTGAATCTAGCGATTCTGAGTCTGAATTTAGCGATTATGAAGTGGATGTACCTCTCCCTGTTATAATTGGGACGATACAAGATAATAACAGAGCTAGTGTCGAGATACATAATATCGATTTTATTTCTGCATTCGATGATTGTATCAGAGAGATTGGCGGGGTTAATCTTAATCATTCATGGTTTACAAATAATTATATGTAGTAGCAGAGAATGGGTAATTATTTACCGAGTTATTTTTTCGGTTATACTGTATTATACATCATTAAATAATATTTGACATGGTTTTCATAGAATTACTCGTAGAGGGAAAACCCCAGTAAAAGCATTAATAGATACATCGTTGAAGTTTAATATTATCAGAAAGAGCTTGTTCGATAGGCTTGGAACGGATCATGGAATAAGACCAACTTGTGATCCGGTTAAAAACCTCTATAAAGATGCAATGGGTGAAATAAATTGCTTAGATTTACAATTCCAATATAAAGGAACATACCATAGCTTGGATAACACTGATGTAATAAACTTTGAAATCTGCAAGAATCCAACATTCGATCTGGTATTGGGTCAGGGTTGGTTATGGGCGCACGAAGTAAAGATGCGTTTTAATCCGACTGCTAAAATTGTATGAGCATCCCGTTAATCGATGAAGATTTTAACAAAGCCAGCTCTAGTATAAATAGCTCACTTAAGTCCGATTTATCAATAGAGGAGATCACGAATATGATTAAGATTTTATCTCTCAGAAGCGAAGATAATAAGCAACGAAAGAGGCATTATGACAACATACCTCCTATATCCCCAGCACATAGAAGAGTTAGCAAGATTAAGAAATATCCCAAGATAGATTTAGGCGATGGATGTGGAAAACTTTCAATCAAAACACACCTCAATAATATTTGGAAGTCGGTTCATTTTATTGAAAATGATATAGAGTATGAAATTTTTGAAAAACTTCGTATTATTGAATATGAACTAATTTGTATAAATAAAGCAAAGTTACCATGGATAAAATCTGAGGCAGAGATAAGTTCATTCAGCTCTGATTCAGAATCCACGGGTTCAGATTGGTGTGATCTCGATCCGATAAAACCCCGAAAGAATTATGTCCGTATTACAAAGAAAAAGGTTGTATTCCCTATCCGAAAAAATCGCATACCAACTGTCCATTCAATCAGAATAATCACGCTAAAAAATATATTCACTATATCACGTTAGGGGAGGTGTTTAAATCCGCGAATCAGAGAAGTATTTCGGAAATCTCGTGAAACATGCATAGTGATATTTCGGGGTGTACTATGAGCATATTAGGCCCTGTTAATTTCCCGATATTGATCCATCCAATCAGAATAATCACATAATTTTGAGCGACGTATCACGGATCTCGCTATGTCTGGCTAAAAATTTGTATCAGATCACCACTCCTTAGTATACTGCAACGTAATAACTCTTCTCCGATTAGCCTATCCCGATCTGTTAAAAATTTACGATATTTTCTAGGGTCTTCTTTACTTTCTATTCCACCGCGATAAAAGCGTATATCTCTTTCCAAATCCCCGCGAATGAATTAATAAATTACGTGATAAAACTGTGGAAGAAAATCTTCACGATCGGAAAAATTATACAATACACCCCACTTTGGCAAAGCCAATGTGGCGGTGGCGTAGACGAAAAACTAATGCGTTCTTTTTCGGATGCCGATCACTTTCATTAATATTAAGAAAAAATTTCTCTCAAATTAATGTACATCGATAACAATACAATAAAATAAATTCACAAATACACATTAACATGCAAAGTAAACACGATTAAGTATGCGAAATCGGCCACCACGGTAATTGTTGCAGTAACGTGACTCTGTATTGTTAAATCGTTGCAAATGTAACATCGATGATAATCGATGATTGTCTACTAAGTAAAAAAGTAGGAATAAAACGTTTTTGTCTCGTAAAGAAAATCGAAATAGATGAGTACGTACAGTATTAGTATTTACCAAAAACATATCAAATTCAATCCTGTTTCAATCCGCTAAGAGGAACGGAGGGTTGGGCCAGCAAACCATCAACAAATGGGGCCTGATCTATCAAAAAGGCAGTTATCGTTATGGTTACATAAACTGGGTTTTTGCATAGACGTTCTCAGCTGTCCCCAGGTGTCGTGTCGTGTCGTGTCGTGGCGTGCGCAAGAGTTGAAGTGTGTCACACCTTTGAAGTTGAGTAATACAAGGGTCGTTTCCATGCAGACTTCAAACCCAAAATTCGTCTCAGGATTGAAATGCAACTTAACAGACATGTACAGTCATCCTCATTTGTATCCCCCCTATTGTATCCCACCCTCGGATATAACCCATCTTTCACGCTGGACGGATTTCCCTTATTTTATTAATTTTCCTCAGTTGTATCCCACTCAGTTATATCCCTATCCCCAATATCCTGATATCCCAATTTCCCATATCATGTGAAAATC